AGGTTTGTGACTGAACAGGCGGCTGGGCAGAAACCACCGTAATTCAGATAGAAATAAAGGCTGGGTTTTCCGCGAGCTGCGCGGGAAGTGCGTGATCCCAAGTTTTTCCTTAGCAGCCATGTGGCTCAGAGGTGTGAAAACGGACTCGGTAGGCACGTGTTGTGTGTGGCGGCGGTTCCTCGTGCTCAGAAGCTCCGGTGCTGGTAACACATTCATAGTGCCCCATCCCTGGAGGTGTCTCAGGCCAGGCTGGATGGGGCTTTGGGCAACCTGGTGTAGTGGAGGGTGTCCCTGCCCATGGCAGGGGGGTTGGAGTGATGATCTTTGAGGTCCCTTCCAACCCTAACCAGTCTATGGTCTATGATGTAATCACAGAAGTTGCATCTTGAATACAAGCAACTAAAGAAATTAACTTTTTTGCTTCTCAAAGAGCCACTGAAATCCAAACAGTTTCTTGCAACATCAGTCTAGTTTGTTGGCACACAGTGGGTACGGGCAGTTTAGAGGCTGCTGTTGGGCTTCGTTGCTTTGCCAGGCTGTTGGCTGCTTGGGATCCGGCAAGGGGGGAAACGGAGCGGCTGTAGTGTTTTTCCTTTGCGACATGGAAGGCACTAAGCAACAGGTTATAAAGTTAATTTTGGTGGTTTGAAGGCTGATTTCTTGTGTGCAGAGGAGGAAGGATGCATCGGTCTAGAAATGGTGCCACCTGCCTGGGGCAGGAATGAGGACTAAGCTCTGTGTGCCCAAGTTCTTTCTGCACCTTTGGGGTGTGTAAGCCTTGCGTCCTCCTCGAGATAGGAAAATGGGTGGTTTAGAAATGAGGTGAGTTGGGCAATTTTGGCTATGGAGTAGTATGGTTACTGCTATCATTTCTGAACAGATCTGGCCTAACAGGATCTGTTGTGTATTTTTGACCTCTCATAGCCAAATTTATTTTCAGGAAGAAACGTTTATCCCCTCAGATTAGTTTGTTAATGTGAACCTGGTGATAACTTGTTTATGCTGCAAAATTTGTCTTTCACTTAAGGACATAAATCCACCTTGATTTTATCTTAAGGCAGAGTGAAAACTGTGACCTCTGCATGCCATGTATGTGAATATTCCAACTATAAAGGAACATGCAGGCCTGGTGGACTTGCCTTTCTCTTTAGTTACTCAGTTCTCTAAACCCTAAATTCATGGAAAGCTTTCTTAGGAATTTTTTTTAATGAAAAACTACTTGAAATTGTCAGTGTATTTTCTTGGAAGTAACCTCTGTGACTTTCTCCTAGCAAAAAGGATATTCCTGTTGCTAATTTCGTCGTGCACGAAATCCACTGTAGCAGAAACATTGAAGTATGCCGCTTCTGCAGTGAATTAATCGCAAAGTCTGAAATGAAGACCCATATGGAGTCTGAACACCTGCAGGTTAGAAACAAACTTCTCCTCTAAAATTGCTGGCTTCTGTGGCAATCAGTCTAACAAGATCTGTTTATCGTAGGTTACCTGCAAGTGTAGGATGAAGATAGAAAAACGTCTCTTGAAGGATCATGAGGTTGGTGGAAAATACGTTATGAGACATTTGGAAGATTCTCTGTGGTATTTCTAGAGCCCTTTTGTCAGCAAAGACCTGGATTGCAGCCTGTGGTTGATGCATCCTTTTTATTGAACCACGCGCTCCCTCCGACAGAATGTGGTTGGAAACTGCCTTTTCCAGTGGAGTGGAGTGGAGTGTGCTCAGGCCTTCCTATAAAAGGGATATCCGTGATAATCGGTGATTTTGTCCTTGTTAGGGATCAAGATGAAAAATGGTACTCTGTTTCACAAGTTCAGAATATGGTTAACTCGACGTTTCTCGTTCGTTTGACATTATGCATTTGTGACTCTGCTGCAGGCATTGTGTGAGTCGTAATAACTCATTGTGTCCAAACAGACTTTTAAAATAAAAAAACTTAAATGGGACACAGTGGGATTTTCTGAGTTTCTGAATCCAGTTGGCTGCTGTCACAGGCAATCTTGTTATAAATGCCAGTACCTTCCCTTCCTATGGGCTCATTTAGAGACAGCTCTGGAAGTGCCACACAAGCCTGCTTATCGGTGAGGAAAAAAGGATTTTCTTTGAAGATGCGTCCAGTTCAAAACCCTGTCAGTAGTTTATCCTGCATGTTTTTGTGTGGTGCTTTTAGTTTTATTTATAAAGCAAAATGATAATCTATTATTTTAGTATCTGCAGTTATAACATATATTTCATCTATGTTTAACCCCTTTTGAAGGGCAGCTTGCCTGTCATTCCGTGTAGGGTAGAGGGCACACACAAGCAATTCTTGTTGAGTAGGAAAAGTGCTGTAGGTCTGTTCCCCAGTATAGCACACACTAACATGTGCTGTTGCAGTACTCGGTGAGATGTGATTAGTCCAGGATGTCGAGACCGTATCTAAAAGGTAACTTCAAAAAGCGCTACGTCCGAGAGCTACGGGTTTGAAAATAATGTTCTGAGTATTCGGAGTGCTTCAGCTGGCATGTTTATGAGTACACCACTTATACAACGTATTGTTCTTATATTTCTCATGTAGTATCTTGTTTCAGGCTGTTCTTTAGTGTAGCTTTGGATCTGGCCAAAGAAACAATGGACTGCTGAACTCTTGAGCAAACTGAGAACCTCCCTCCGCCTTCACCTCAGTCTTCCATACGTGAAGAATAATCTCTCTTTCTTTTTACAGGCATCAGCATGCCCTCTGCGTCCTGCCCTCTGCCAGTTCTGTGACATCCAGCTCGCTTTTGACAAGCTCCAGGACCATGAAATTTACTGCGGAGCGAGGACTGAGAGATGTGGTGGGTGCGGTCGTAACGTCATGATGAAAGATCTCAAAGAGCACCCTCGAGTCTGTGGGCAAGAAGTGAAACAAGTAAGAGGAAGCAGGACAGTGCCTCGCTTTGAGGATGAGGATGCAGATTTCCACACCCTTCAGGACATCAGAAGCCGACTAAGATCAGGTAACTGTGCTGGGCCTTTGTGGAGAAGGCCCAGGGTGCTCAAAAAGCAGATTTATAGCAGCTGCGTAGGAGACAAAACACTTTAGGACCTTAGCAGAAGAAATGTTCCGGCAGCACAAAGAAATCAAAAGTGAGGTTAGGTGTAGAGAAGCGTGATAATTGGCTTCTAATTCGACATTCGGCAGCTGATCCAAGTATAAGGTTTTGTCATTGGTGTCTGTGAGAATACTGAATAGTGAAAGCTCCAGAGGCACTGCGAGTGGGACACGGAATAGAACTGCAAAGTTGTAAGCCAGCTAAATGAGGGCTGCTGAGGTTCCTGGTGTGCAAACCCAGTCCCCTGCCTGTTGTTTTGTCTCAAAAATGGAATTGGAGTTGTTTGCTCATGGCGAATTCTGTCTGGTTTTGTTTAGCAGCTGCGCTCCTCTCAACTGAAGTAGAAGGGTGGGTAAGATCTGGATGGGAGTTCTGCTACGTCGTGCTGCACGTTTCTGCAGTAACGTCCTGTTTGAGCAGAGCTGAGACTGTTCTAAATGCCTCTGCTCTTTCCAAAGCCTCTAATCTCATACCTCCACGTGCAGAGGTTGTGTCACACTTCAGACATACCCTTTCTAGGAGCTCTTGGCTGAATTTGGGCTCTACTTTATGCTGTGGGACACTCAGGATTTAGCACTGCAAAAATACTGAATGACAGTCTTTGCTGTAGAAGACTGCCCGGTTTGTGGAAGTAACGTCCAGGCTTAGTTAATAAAACTCTCAGATCTGGAGAGCTGTAACTTCTGCTAAGTTCCAAAGAGCGTTCACAAGTAGTATTTTTACACACACGTAATCTTTGTTTAAAATTTTCGTGTGATCAGTACAAATGAAACACCAGAGGGGTTTGAAATAGGCTGTCTCGGGGAAGGAGCACTCAGCCTTTCTTTAGGCATCATCAGTTCAGTCTTGGACCCTGTTCTGGAGCTGTAGTTTTCTTTCCAGTGTAGTTTTCCTACCAGAAAATGGTGTTCTGCTGTACATGTACAATTCCCACTGCTGTCAAACATAATATCATTAAAAGGAATTTGTTTTCCCATCGATATACTGGAGAAACCAGGCTGAGGCATTTCAGCCTTGTAAAGGGATGAGACTACAGTGTATTAATGGGCCCTTGTTCACAGTGTAGGTCACAGAAGGTTCCTCAGTGACTTCGTAAAGCTCCCCCGAGGCTGAAGTTCAAGCTTGTGGAGTAAGAGGAACAACTTTCTTCTTTTTCTCCTTTTTTACTTGTTACAAACGAAAATAGGATGACTGTTTTCCTTCTTCCTCCTGAATTTGATCGAGGTGGCCTTCTAGGCTTTGGAACGCTGGCCTCCATGAGTGGCCACCTGTGTGCAACTCATGGTCGAGTGAGTCTAATGCACAGCAGTGAACTGCTCCTTGCAGGTTTAACATTCCCTCCAATTTCTGATATTTCTCTTTTGAAGAGGGTGAACTGGAGCAGTTGGAGAGAAATGAAAATGCTCGTTCTTCACTTTCTGAAGAGTGGAACGCTGATTTAGACTACGTGTTGGCTCTTAGCCTACAGAATGAGAATAATCCTCACAATAACGCTGCAGCTGGAATTCCCGGTGACTTCTGGGAAAACTACTACACCAAAGAGTCTGTGCCATCTGTCTATCTGAATGAAGCAGACAAGTCAAATGTCTTCCGTGACTCTTTAGTGCCTTTTAGCATGTCAAACCACATAAAAAGTAAGTATGAACCCTGCTGTGGTGGGGTATTTTCCTTAAAGTTTGAGGGAGGGGAGAAGGAAAGAGGATTCTTGGATTGGGAATGTCAAAGATTATCTAGGAGTTTTAAAATGTCAAAATGAGTCTCTGTGAGACTCCTTCTAAATCATTTTTAGGTAATTAATGCATAGGAGATTAGACAATCCAGGAGTACCATTCTTCCTTCCTTTCTTAAATTTTATCTTCAGCTCCCTTGAAACTTTGCAATATTAGTGTTTCAAATAGTTTATTTCCAAGAGGTATTACTAAAGCAAGACAGCAAGGGGAGAAGAAATAAAAGCTACAGTGAATCTCTGACCTTGGTGTGCGGTGAGAGCTTCGTAACAACTGAGCAGGTGACACCTTTCTTGTTGAAGTAAACATGATAGGAAGGGAGGATCTGGGGGAGACCCGAAGTGCCACCTTGTTTTGAAAGGAGAAGTGGTACTAAAGGATTTATTGAAGGCAGGAATAGGCTTTTTTGCCAGACCATGTGGTGTATCTGTGACCTCAAAACATTGTTCTCGCTCTGGGTGACATGAATTTGCTTATGTGAAATGCAGCAAGTGGGACTAGGGTAACTATTTCCTCAGCATTTGCTCTGGTTGCTGTCCTGGGGCACAGAACAGGAGCCTGTTGCTTAGGAATTTTGAAGATAAATTGATCCCACTGCATCAGACTTCCCTATGGTGGAGGCTATGACTGTTCCTTCCTTTGCAGAAGATGAGATCATCATGCTGCCATGTGAATTTTGTGAGGAGCTGTACCCTGCCGAAGATCTGATCCTTCACCAGGTGTAGTACTTTCTTGTGTTGTGTCTAGGGGTTTGCAGGAAAGACTTTTTTTCTGTCACCGTGACCAAACAAGGGTGCAGTCTTCACGCAGTGATACTGTAAGAACTCGAGCCATTTGGTCTTTGCAAAGCATGTTTTTAAAGTCCATCTCATGCTCAACAGGAGAGCTGATTTTTCTGTGTTTCTCGCACAACAGACAGGTTGTAACCCAGCAAGTGCTTTTGCCTCGTTCAGTAAGAGAAGTTCTTCCCCAAATCCACGAGAATACGGCGGTCTGCGTGCTGTTGGGTCCAGAAACTGCAGGTCTCTCTCTTCGTCCCAGCCCCAAGCTGTCCAGGCAGGAGGAAACATCGTGATTCCGTGTGAATTTTGTGGCATCCAACTGGAAGAGGAGATCGTCTTTCATCATCAGGTACTAAACAGAACTTGATCTGTTGTATCACGTCCAGTTGCTCAAAATCTTTGCCAAGTCCTGCGGCCTCTTGTTGTGGCACGTTTTAGGAATTCAGGTCACTGTCCCTTGTGTCAGACCTTGCTAAACAAAGCCTCTCGTGTCCCCGCCAAAACGCTGTGGTAGGCTAAGGCTCTTCCTGAAAGACAACAATTATTTGAAAGCTCTTCTCACGAAAACTGAACAAAACGCCCTGAAATTGCGCAATATTAATGTTTGACTTGAACATAAAAGTCGTGTTGAAAGCAGGACGTGTGAATCACAGCCAGGGTGGGAGAGGAGCACAGGTAGGACCTGTGTAGGTAGGGAAGGGAGTAGACAACTCGGACTGCAAATCTGGGAGATGGAGGAATGTCTCAGAGGGCAGATGTGAAGACAGAGAGAAAGAGTAAGACTGTGACTATATCGGAAGCTCGGACTGAGAGAGAAGTGGTGGGTTTGTGAAGTGGTGGGTGCTGTGGAGCTTCCTGGGGTGTTCTGGTTCTTCTGACCATCGCTGCCTGGTGCTTCTGATGAGGAAGGAACACCAGGTCTCGGCACTGCCGAAACCGTCGCTGCTTTTCAAGAGTGCTGCACAGATACCAGCCAGAGTGCTGGGTGCTGCAGTGCTGCTGTGCTCCCAAGGAGCAGATCTGGGGAGTGTTGTGCCCGTGGAAGAGACAATCCTCTGGAAATTATTAAGACAAGTTATGAAAATGTGGAGCTTGCTCGTTTTGTCTCAAGGCTGAAGGAATTGGGAAGTGAACAGTTCTTACAGTCCTACCAAACAAACTGGTGAAGCTGTGTTTTGTTTGTTTGCCTGGGCCTTTCCTCTCCTTGGCAATAGGAAATTCAGAATTAATAGATCTGATAAAATTTCACAGTGTGTCTTTTGCTAAATAGTCATGCTTGACACTAAGAAGTCCCATCCACATCCTATCACAGTTGGCTGTTGGAAGCCTTTTTTTTTTCTCCCTTATCTACCTATTTTGGAAGTGCAGAATGGGAAGCCTGCTTTACCTACCAGCTTCTGCCGTTCTCGGTGAGGTTCGTGTACGATAATCAAGGCTCGTTAAGAATTAGTGATGGGAGCAGAGTTGCCACAGTAGTTTGTTTGCAAACCATGAGAAGGACACTGTGTGTTTAAAGTTTCGCGTTCTAAGTAGTATTCCCGGTGTCTAACAAAGGTAACAGATGTTTTCCTTTCTAGTTCGTGTTTTTTTTTGTGTGTCCTATGGATTTCTGCCTTGTTTTGATGTTCCTTGATGTAATTAACCTGCAGAAAACCCGCTTTAGGAGCAGGATAGCTAACAGGGGCACTTCCGTGGGCAGCATGACTTGGAAATCACTTTTAACTGGATTTGGGTTTTATGACAGCACCGATACCAGATGGATATGAGGAACTGGATCAGAATTCCAGTGACAGTGCTTCAGGGCTGCTTTCCCCGTGCTTGGGACTGGCTTTGCAAGGTCGTTTTTAGGCGTGAGAGGCAGAAGGCTGAATGAGAGAGTGTCTGGTTGTTGGCTGCCCGGCAGGAGGCCCCAGCACGGGTGGGTCTGTCCAGCAGGACTGGCTCATGCTGCCAGTTCCATTTTTGCTCAGGTCCTGTGACAGGTAGGGATTATTCCTAAGCTCTGCGTGAAAGAAAACGGGTGTGTCGATGAGCCAGTGTCTGCCTCGCCCTAAGCACCATTCTCTACGAAGCTGAATCATTCCAAGGGGTGATGCTCTGTGGTGTTTTTACAGGAATAAGTCTGAATAAACACTCAAACGCATGTTTTGCTTCAGCACCACTGTGACCTGCGCCCCGCCAGCCCAGCAGCCAGCTTTCCACCGCAGCAGCTGCTGCCTCCTCAAGCCAACAGAGGGAGAAGAGAAGCACCAGAGCTGGCGCGGAGCCGAGCCGGGCACCGAGGTGTGGGCAGAACACCGACCCGCGCACGCTGCCTTCCGTTTGCAGGAACACCGTGCGTGTTCCAAGCTGAATAGATGTTGCTACCCTGTTCTGTCTCCAAAATCTTAAAATCTTTGATCCTCTCCCATTGCTGTAGTTTTCTGCAAAAAAGATTAAAAGTCAGTGAAACTAGGGATCCTCAAAGATCTGCTATGAAGACAGGCTGAGAGAGTTGCGGGGGGTTCAGCCTGGAGAAGAGAAGGCTCCAGGGTGATCTTATAGCAGCCTTCCAGTACCTAATGGGGCTACAGGAAAGCTGGAGAGGGGCTTTGGACAAGGGCGTGGAGTGACAGGACAAGGGGCAATGGCTTTAGACTGAAAGAGGGGAGATTTCGATGGGATATAAGGAAGAAACTTTTCCCTCTGAGGGTGATGAAACACTGGACCAGGTTGCCCAGAGAAGCTGTGGCTGCCCCATCCCTGGAAGTGTTCAAGGCCAGGCTGGATGGGGCTTTGAGCAACCTGGTGTAGTGGAGGGTGTCCCTGCCCATGGCAGGGGGGTTGGAACTGGATGATCTTTGAGGTCCCTTCCAGCCCGAACCATTCCATGATTCTGTGATCTTAGTTATGAAGCCCTGTGCTACTGGAATGGAAATTAGGTCTGGTTTTGTTATCCGAATAGTCACCAATGCCTCACGCTGCGTTTACTGTCCCTGTTAAGTTCTGTGTTCTGCCCTCGCAGGAGATGTTTCTCCTCAGTGCGCAGAACACTTTGGGCAGCAGAGGCTCAGCCACCCTGCACGAGGGACCAAGCCCCTGAGCAACATGGCAAACGCCAGGAACGCATCGTCGTCCTTGTCAGCGAGAGCCCGGGATGCTCCTGACTCCAGAGGGAAGCCCAGGAAGGTGGCTGGTGGTGAGGGAGGACCAAAGAACAGAGGTGCAAGTGAATCTGCAGGTGGGATGACACCACGTGTGCGACCTGCTCAGAACTTCCGTTCAGAAGCCATCACGTCCAGCTTCTGGAGACCTTCTCCAGCCCGAGGAGGGTAACGCCTTTCTCTTCCATTTCAAGCAGCCAACGGGGTCCTGCCCTGAAGGGTGAGGGGTCGGTGGTGCTGTAGGAGCAGGTTTTGCTCTGCCAAAAGTGGGGGTGCAGCCTTGGGCCTGGCGCCTTCTCATCTCCAGGTGGCAGCAGCCCAACGGCAGCAGCAGTGAGAAATCCACTCCAGCCCTCTGCCTCCTTTCCTCGTGGTGCGGATCCGGATTCCCTCGTGGTTGCCTGGGGCTGAAGGGGTTTCACCCAATTTAATTTGGCTGCTGCTTATCTGAGTTTCCAACAGCAAACGTGGGCGTTTGTATCCGAGTGGCCAAAACAGTCACTGGGAGACAGCGTAGGATAACGCCTCGGTACCCGTCCAGGGCAGCGCTCCCAGCTTAGCTTTTCCCGTTGCTTTTTGAATAGGATCCGGTTCTGCTGCAACAAGAACTGGGTCAGGGTTCAGGAGGAGGATGAAGGGATTCTTCCCAGACTTCCGATGGCTCCCTGGTGGGAAGGAGCCGTGCTTGTTGCCTGCTGCCTCTGAGTGTCTCCCTGTTCTCCTCCTACAGCACCAGCAGCGGAGGAGGAGGAAGGAGCCTCGGGATGGCGGATGCTCCCGGCGGCGTCAGGCGCCGGAACACGCCGGGGAGGCCGCCCGTGGAGCGC